TTAAACTTGCATTAGGAGATATTGCTGTATTTTGATGTTTGCTACTTGTAATTTTGATTGCAATAGTACTCCCAAAAAGTTCAATTATTGCATATACCATTTCAGGCACGTTAGATGCCGCTATTCCCATATCTTCTCCATTAATATAAAATTTCAAATTACCATCATGCGTTCGTTTCATTCCTATTTTATCACCAACACAAAGCCATTCCAAACTTGGACAATAATTTGGACAAAGAACATATCCCGAATGTCTTACTTCATTTCCTAAATATGTGTAATCGATGTGATGTAAAAGGGTTAATAAGAAAAATTTGTACTTATTGAGATAACTTAGATCGTGAACTTTATACTTGCCTGTTATGTACCAGGCATTTGTTGGAATAGAAGTTATATCAGGTACACGATTGGTAGGTTTTAACCAATTACCAGATTCATTGCTTATAACTCCTATCCTTAAACAACCACTCCATTCAATGTCTATTTCTTGAATAGCAATTTCGAATATTTCATTATTGTCTAAAGGAGTTTCACTTAATAACACAGCATTATTAAGTTCCCTACGTCTTGTTGCCACTGTCTTTTCGTTATTTAATTGTATATTTGAGCCAACAGACGTATGGAATTTATGCAGAACTTCTGTTTGAACTTGCGGTTGGATAACAGATGTAGGTTGTTGACTGGTACTATTCTCTGAAGGAATGTATTGCTGTGTTAATGGATCTCTACGTTCTGGCAGTACAATTGTAACCTAAAGAAAAACGAAGTTATTTTATTTATTTTTGTAGGTCCATTCATTAAGATTATTTTTATATACGACTCATTTCAATCTTATACCTGTACACATTGACCATATAAATTGATCACAGGATAAACATGTAAAGGTAAATTTGTACATGCTGGACCTTGATCTACACCATCTAAATAATAATGCAAACTTGTATCTGCAGATCGCATCATACCAATACGATTTCCTTCCACTAGGAAATCTAAATCGCATGCATAATTGTTACGCAATGTAATGCCATCCCGTATTACAGCGGAACCAGAAAGCATCCAAATGTCATGATCGATATCCGTCATTGTAGATGGAAATTCCAATTCATCTGGTCTGATAAGTGTGACCCCTGGGAGATTTTCCTAATATTAATACAAGGAAGGCAGCTACACTTTTATGATACTCAAATGTAAATTGATAAAATAAAAAACTAAAAGCTTCTATATTATTTCAAAAGATTACCTGCTTCGATAGCTCCACACCACCTATCTACCATTTTATCAATGGTTACTTCAAACATTTCACCCTCGCGTAAAGCACGATTTGCAATAACTATAGCTTCATTGAATTCACCTAAAGCTCTTGGTCTGGATGCTGTTAAACCATTATTTGTAATACGTGCATTTTTTCCATGTACATAGTGAAATCTCAAATCGCTATTAAAGTAAAGATACAAGTAATATATTCTGCTTTTATACTATGTAGATATAAGAAACAAATGTTTATTTCGTGCTTATACAAGAAATAAATGTTCAGTTTGTGCTCATATAAAATAACAAACCTATATAAAGTTGTATTACTGAAACTAGAATTATTTGTTGTAGGACTATAAAAATCTGCGGTATCCACAATAGTTGCTTGCGCAGCTTGTCCGTACAGATCTATAACACCATAAACTTTTTCTGGTACACTCATTGCAGCTGCACCTTGATCCGCACCATTTACATAAAAATGCAATGTAGCATTATCTTTTCGCATAACACCTACACGATCGCCAACTTGTAATCGATCTAAATTTTGTCCATATTGATCTATCATAGTAGTTCCATTGTGCATAACACCATTTCCTGTCATCATCCAAGTACCTGATCTGTAAGAGACATTAGCACCTTCAAGCAATAAGAAGTGTAATAATCTTGATATTTACATATACAGGGTCTGGCCAAATGACATGCATAAACGAATATAATAAAATTGACATGTAGAATGATATTATTTGTAAACTGTCATACATATACCTAACATTAGTCATTGTATAAGGAAATTCCAATTCAGTTGGTGAATGCGTTGTCACACCTATTTCAATAGAACCTGCCCATTTGGATACAATTTTATCTAATTTCACCTCAAATAGCTCATTTGGTTTTAATGGTCGTGAAGTTAATACTACCCCATTATTAAAATCATCTATGGCACTACAAAGAAGATAATTATAACACAGTTCTCTAATTTTTTTAATGAAGTAAATAAACTCATGTATGCATTACTTAGGCCTATGTGCTGTACGTCCGTTATTAATAACTTCAGCATGTGTTCCACAACAAGAATGGAACATGAGTCTATCAGGTGGTTCTTCTTCTGGTTCTACAAAGGAATGTATAAATTGTCTTCCTCGCTGATAAATGAATGCACGTTTATATGTATCCCATCAAAACTATGGTGGTAGGAGAACCAATTAAGGATTTACATAAACCATAAAACAAGGACACTACTGTCTTTACCGTTTAATCCTTGCAACTGCAAAGTGTTACGTCTCGTGATTAAGTTCTGCTCTTCCCTTTCATCTCGATCAACAATAGTCACCTTTACAGTCATTCCATAAAGATCAATAACACCCCATACACCTGCTGGTACTTTGGCAGCAATTCCTTGATCTAACCCATTAATTAAATAGTGGAGATTTCCATTACTTTTTCTTATCATTCCTACTCTATCTCCTTCCTATAAAGCAACACACACACAAACATAATATTACATTTACATAGAAATATATATATATATATACATCGATGTCAGATGACACACTTATGCATTATTACTCAACACTATAAACTGAAACGCATTCCAATGCGTATGTGTAAAGTTCATATAAAACTTACTCTCAATTCATCTAGATTGAATTCTCCATATTCACGTTGAGTGCCCTTTCCATTAGTTAAAATACCACATCCAGACATCATTGTTGTACCAGATCGCATATTGGTCATTGTTGCAGGAAATTCTAACGCAGTAGGACTATGAGTTGTAACTCCAACTTCTATACTACCAGACCATTTGTAAACAAGTCTATCTAGACGTATCTATAAGGAATCAAAACATTATTTGTAATATATTATATTTGATTAATATCTTTTTTGATAATATAATATTTTAATAAGCTAACCTCGAAAAGTTCATTATCTCGTAATGGCCTGTGTGTCATTACAACGCCATTATTGAATTCATCAATTGGTCTCCGCCTTTCAGCCGTTCTTGCATTATTAGACAGTTTTACAAGCATACCCACTCTTTCATGGAACTTTAAACGATCTTCTCTAATAGCAGCAGGGCTTGGATTTTTCGGTAAACTAACATTTACATTAACATTTAAATTAACATTCAAGTTAGCGACTAGATTAGTTGTAGATGAATTAGATGATCCACCAAGAGGGTAATCGTTATTAATTTCAACCTCATCCTTTACTTCATTACTGACAGGTAAAAGACGTGGATGGGTAATGGTAACTTGAACACAATCTCCATACATGTCTATAACTGCAAATAAGCGCTCTGGAATGTTGGTTACCGCAATGCCTTGAGAAACACCACTAATGTAAAATACAAGTTCGTTCTATAATTAAAAAAAAAAAGAAGCTAGTTATAATAATATATGCTTTACAATATCAAAAGCATTAAAAAGAAAGAATCATACATTAGACGTTCTCATTACACCCAAAGTACTTCCCTCATCCAGACTACTAAGATCTGTACCATATAATTCTACTATTCGTGTACCATCGTGTACTATACCCGAGCTAGTCATAATCCAAGATCCATGGCGAAGATTGGTAGCACAAGCAGGTAATTCCACAGTTTCAGGATTACATTCTGTCACTCCAATCTCTATACTACCACTCCATGATATCATCTGTGATGATAAAAATTGTTTAAATATATCTATACAAAAATTTATTAATACATATATCTACAATAAAATATCGATTATTATTTCCAATATTAATAAATTTATATGTTTTATAGTAGTAAGTATTATGTTTGTAAACAAATAACATTACAAATATAAAACATAAACACACGCGACATTTGACAGTTGTAGTTCCTGCATAGTATATCAAAAATTGATCTGTAAGGCAACAGTAATACGTGGTCATACCTTTTTATCAATACGGACTTCGAACATTTCATCATCCTTAAGAGGCATAGCACTAAATACCAATCCATAATTATATTCGGAATAATTTCGAATTGCTGTGCAATTATTATTTGTTAAAGTAACACGACGACCGGCTCGACGATGAAACATGTCGACCATTTACTGTGTCCATGCACCGATGTATATATGTATATATGCATAGATATATATTACAGCTAGATTTTGCTATAATATATATAACCGTATCCGCGTGCAATTGGCGGTCAGAATAATCAACGCTAATTGGTTAAACGTGAAAAAAAAACACCAATGGCATACAAGATTAAGATGCGCGGGCTTTGTTAAAATGAGTTCAAACTATAGATACTATTCTTTGATTCTTTTAATTATAGTTCTAAAACCTAGAGAAACTCTAGTTCTAAAAAGAGAAAGGAAAAGAAAGATGAAATATTTACAAATATGTAGAAATCTATTTTGAATCGGCCTTAAGGTTTATTTCATTGATTTAATTTGTTCTTCGTAAACCACCTCGATGATATACCAGTATAGGTAAAACAGCAGTGCGACAAAATGTATATAATACTATTTCTATACCTAACATGCATATCAAATTACAAGAATAAATAAATAATAATGAAATAAAGGAGAAGGAAAGAATTAATGATTTTAAATTGAATATTTTATTTCAAAATATCCTCGATAATATTCTCATAATTATTATTTTTCCAATGATAGGATATGATTTTTTGTCGCGCAATGGAACGACGCCAAAGCCACCTACCGGACGAGTCATACATTTGCTTGCATTTGACCAAGCGCAGTTTTAGGATCTATTTGTGAACACATTGAGGAATAGTAGTATATAGTAAAATTCGGTTGTGCAGAAAAGAAGAAAAAAATGGCGAACATTCGTGAGTGAGGAATGAACCCGATAGTGAAGGAATTGACGACGAGATAAAGAACTTGCTAAGTATTGTATGTGACAAGATTTGAAAAAAGGATTTTTCTTTGTTATTATTGTCGTTAAACATATAGCATTGAAGAAATTATTCGCGTTTTTAGAAGAAGTGAAACTTTTTAAACGCAAATAAGAACTATTTGCTAGCACGTTGATTGCGAAACGTCATAAAACAATTCACACGAATTGAACGAGTTCGTGGTGCAAGAAGCATAACTTTTTCATTCATAGAGGTTATCTCTTAAATGCTGTATGTCAAATAAATGCTAACGCAATGGATAATGTATCGAAGGATTCATCGACTTCACATTATATCTCGTGGTGATTTGATTTAATTTTATTTTAAAGGGACATTTTATTCATCGAAAGCGTCAGGTACGTTCTACCAGTATAAAGGTTATAAATAATTTTTTTTTATGTATAGTACTATTTACACAGGCATACAATTTTTTTTTTTTAATGTTCTATTATAGGGGTGCCGTTCGATTTGCATCTAATGTTTTTAATTCTTTTCATTATTTATTTATGTATCAAATCGTATCATTTACATTTTTTTTAGCAGACCTGCAATGGGTGCTACAAAATGCAGAGCAGAATAATACAACGATTATATACATATATATATATTTTCTTATATCGATAGCTATATATTTTGGGTAAATAGAATCAATGTTTTTTTCGTGTTTTTTTTTTTTTTTTATTTAATATTTTTTTCTTTTTCTTCAAATCTTTCTCTGATATCAATGAAATTTTAGTGATATTATTTGTTAATGTTTATAATTGTTAACATTGTCATAAAAAATATAAATATGATCTGTTAATAATATAATAAATTTAAAGAATATATATATATACATAAATATTTTCTTTTTATAGATATATGCTAACAAACCAAAAATGGATCAAGAAACGGTTTATGGTACACACGAAGACAGTCATGTTGTCATGTCAGAAAAAGTACAGTCTCTGGCAGGCAGTATTTACCAAGAATTTGAAAGAATGATTGCGAGATATGACGAAGATGTTGTAAAAGACCTAATGCCTTTGCTAGTCAATGTTTTAGAATGTTTAGATGTATCTTATACAGAAAATCAAGAGCGTGAAGTTGAATTAGAATTATTAAGAGAAGATAATGAACAGCTAGTTACGCAATATGAGAGAGAAAAACAACTGAGGAAAACATCTGACCAGGTGAAATTCGTTCTTCTATTTATTTTTATATTCTTTACTCTCAACAAATGCTACTGTTTCGACTTAAAAACTTATGTAGTTATTCTTTAAATAATAATTATTTTTTTCTTGTTCATTAGAAATTACTCGAGCTGGAAGATGTTGCAGAAGACGAAAGAAAAGAATTATTATGCAAAATCGACAGTTTAGAATCAATTGTAAGGATGCTGGAGCTGAAAACCAAGAATTCGCAAGACCACGGTACAATTGTCAATGGCTCTTCCAGTACATCCCCTCCTAGAACATCTTACAGTAGAGTAGAATATTTTGTTTTTTGTGTTTTTTTTTATCATATCAAATATAAGATTTCATCTTATGGTATTGGAATCAAATGACAATTATTTTATAGCATACATTTTTCGATATATTTTGTTAATGCATTAAGTGCCAAGTCCCTTTTGTTGAATTTTCCATTTAAATTACGAAGATTTGCTAGCTATAGAGAAACATAAGAATGTCGGCCATTGGTAACCGACGTGGCCTGGATGGAAAGGACCAGTCTCTAGAAACCAGCAAGGCATTTAACGTATTAATTAGATTGCATTAATTTTATTCCATTAGGTTATTTTGAAAATACTTTTCATGCTTCTTTATTAGCTTAAGCAATTTATTATCATCATTAAGTAAATAGTTGAAAGTTAATTTTATTTTATAATTTGCAATATTCATGAAACTTTCTTTTTCATATCCTGTAGAGTAGATTCCAATGTGTTTTTTGTCCTTTTTATTCATTGATTTTTATACATTATTTTTTAATGATATATTATTTATATTTTAGTGGTACGTCTTGAAGAAAAGGAAGCAGAACTAAAACGTGAATACGCGCGCCTACATGACAGATATACAGAATTATTTAAGACACATGTGGATTACATGGAAAGAACAAAAATGTTGGTTGGTAGTACAGAGAGATTAGAAAATGCTACCAGTGGTCGGGGTCCGTCGAGATTACCTTCTCTTGGTTTAGCGCATATGTCAAGAAGCTCTGGTCCTTTAAGTTATGGATTTCAAAGTTTAGAAGCGAGCATAAATGCAGAAGAACCTCAAGATGAAAGTCCACCAAATGCTGCTAATTTAAGACTTGAAATGTTGGATAGTAGTAGCGAAGCTGCAATAGAAACTTCTGATAAAAGTCAATTAACCGATCAGCCTGTACAAGAAAATAAGACTACTGCAATTTCCAGACGTATATTATCATAATATTTGAAATATGTCTTATTACTTTTATTCTATTTATATGTATGTATATATTTTATCTTTTTTAATTATAGGCGAAAGTCCTGAGACTGAATTACCTCCGCCATTAATAACACCAACTACACCGAGTGGACTAGAGAAATTAGCTACAACACCAAGTGGTGGTAGAAGTAAAACTGAAAGAGAACAGAGAAGTGGCAATACGTTGTATCAGGAACTTAGTTTCCAAGATGCAGATGCATTAGGTGAAATGGATGAAGGTGCAGATATTACAGGTAAATAAACACAGAAGCTGTTGAATGTTTATAATCATAATACAAGTGTATAATTAACCTGTTATTATTATTATAATCACAGGTAGTTGGGTTCATCCTGGTGAATATGCATCATCGGGTATGTTTAACAAAAACATTACAAATCAATATAAATTTGGTTATGTGTATTCATTTAATCTAAATTCTAACAATAATAAAATGTCAAGGCTCTTTAACTATAAAGCAAATTTTACACAATCAGTAATAATGACACTACGTAACAACATTATACTGATCATATTGCTTGATTGATCGAAGTAAACACTGAAGATTCCATTTTCACAGTTCTTACATGATCAGTAATACTGGCGTTATGACAAGTTAATGTTGTTAATATTGGCTGTATAAAATCTGTTTAAATGTTTTCATGTATTGATAATACATTTATACTATAAATATAATTTTAGTAAAAGAGTAATTATTGTTTTATCAAAGTAAATAATTTGTATTAAAATTTGAATCATTTGAAAGAGCATTGTCAAAGTATATAACTTATATTAAAATCTTAATCATTTGAAGGGCATAGAATTTATTCTAAAACTTTTTACTTTAATTAAAAACCTTAATAACAGAAGTATTATTTCCTAATATGTCTGGATGTTTCATCCATCGCTTGCATTTTCACACTATGCTGACTCCTACTGAAACTCTGATGAATGATGCATGCAATGTATAATCTAATCATGCAGTCAATGACAACTTTTATGGTAAGCTATTTATCTTTTTGTCTGTCGTATATTCATTTAGAAAAAAAGAGATATTAGGAAAAAATTATTTATGTGTTAAAAGTGTTTCTTTCATTCCTATAATATTATGTAGTATTATTACTAAACGCTTTTTTATAATATTAATTTCTATGTATACTTATATACAATGTGTACATATATATATATATATATTTTAAATAATAATTTCTATTGTTTAGGTATGGGAAAAGAAGTGGAAAACCTTATTATGGAAAACAACGAGCTATTAGCTACTAAGTAAGTTATTTTATATTATTGAAAATATATATATATAATAGAGAAAAAAACAGTTTGATTATGGTATTTTATTTTTCAGAAATGCTCTTAATGTAGTTAAGGATGACTTAATAGTTAAAGTGGATGAACTGACTAGGTAACTAATTTAAATTTCTTGACCTGTCAATGTTTTTTTATTTCTCCTTGTATATATTAATTAATTGTTTACTTTCTACAGCGAACAAGAAATATTACGCGAGGAAGTTCGTAGTTTACAGCAAACTAAGGATCGTTTGCGTCATCGTATTGCTGCTCTTGAAGAAGAATTAAAGAAAGTAAAAGAAGATGCTGAGGCTGTTGCGAAAGCTGCAAAGAGCGATGACGAAGAGGACGTGCCTTTAGCTCAAAGAAAAAGGTTTACAAGAGTGGAAATGGCTAGAGTTCTCATGGAAAGAAATCAATATAAGGAAAGATTTATGGAACTTCAAGAAGCTGTAAGGTGGACTGAAATTATTAGAGCAAATAAAATTGATCCTTCCAATACATCAGGAGGAAAGGGTTCACAATTTTGGAAGTTGTTAGTATTAGATAATTAAGATATTAACATAAATATGTATAATAATAGAAAGAAAGACATAACTAAGCAATTTTTCGTCTATTCTTTGTAGTTTTAGTAGTCTCTTCACGACAACTGATCGTGGGAATTTAGTACGCGGAGCACATACATTACCTCATTTTCGCTACAGTGCACCAACAAATCAAGTTGTTCCAGCCGTGAGCACCATGCATAAACATACGAAAAATCGCCATGACTTTCTCGACCAAGGAGACACCATGTGAGAAATCAATCCTATTCTATATACATGCACCTTGATGTTATGTCAGTCTGACATCACAGCCTGCCTGATTTCTATCTATTATTTAGATACAAATTTATTTATTGAGTATTGAGCTTTCTACATCATAAAACATCAATCTTAATCTGTGATTTATCGCGCAATGAATGTTTTAATACAAGTGCACAATTATGGAGCTTAATTTGTATATAGATATATATATATATATATATATACTTTGATACTACTATATATCAAAGCTGCCATAATAATTACTTGTAGTAAAATTTCTTTTTTTATAGAAGTTTTTGGAAAAGTAATCTCTCCCAAATGGGAAATAACTATTATTGAATGAAGTGCGGTCATCTTTCCAGATTAGAATCCTCTTTGGTCTATTGGGATCCATAATGTTTTCTTACCCCTTACAAATAGTCTTGATTGCTCTGAAAAGACGTGAGTCTTCTCTGTATAATTTAGAATTTAAACTGACCAATTTGAACATAATATTGCTGCTAACACAATATCATGTCCCGTTTCCCTTTTTTATATTTATTAATTAATTATCTTGAATTACAACTTTTCGAGGTAACTTTTGACTTAATTAAGACATAAATTTTATACAAAAGAACCTTATATTTTTTAAATACATTATTTTCTTTCTGTTTGCTAGGCTTATTCTTTTTTTCAAAGTCTAATTTCCTAGTCTTCATTACAAGTAACATATTTGTAAAGTACGTATACCGATTTTTATGTGATTTACACTTAATAAAATAACTTGCAAATGATAAAAGTATAATAACTAATGAGGTAAATTGACTGTTACCTTTCTAGAATATGCTTACAAAGCTATAGTTTTGTATATAAGAGTTTGTATATTTTTTGGAAAATTGATAATATATATTCGATCGTTATTGATCGATGAATAAATGAAGTTATAAGTATGTTAAACTTGGCTTTTATTTCGATGTCGTTATTTCGCTTTTGTCTCATTATTCGGGTTTTCTTGCCTCACCTTCATGGCGTTATCAAGAGATTCCTGGTTTTTCTGGCTTTCATTGGGGTGCTTATTGGTCAGCAGGTAAATCTGTTCTGCTATATTCTTAACTTTTCTGCTTTGACACCTGTATTCTGAATTTGTGAGAGATGGTCCTTGGCATGAATATTTACTCCAAGACAATATCTTCTATCATCTTTTCTTTATATTAAATTCGTCCAAAAAATGGAATGAAAATATTTGAATACGCTTACATATAAGAAATGTATGATAATGAAATACTAAAAGTATTTCTAAAACAGGAAGAAATATTAGTAATAAAATGAATCTTGGTAAAACCAGATATTGGAAAAAGATAAATCTGAAAGTAGACATTTTAACTCATGTGATTCCTCAATCCCTTGCATTACGCTTGTGTAGAAAATGTATTGAAAATACATTTTTTGTGCATTTAAAACGTACTTACAGATCATCCGAAAAGCTTGTTGCCCGGCGAGCAAATGAACGAAGAGAACAATATCGTCAAGTCAGAGCACACGTTAGAAAAGAAGATGGTCGATTACAAGCTTATGGATGGAGTTTACCTGGAAAGCCAATAGCACCAGTAAGACAACCTGTACCGGTACCAGTATATTGTAGGCCTCTTCAAGAAACAGAACCAGGAATGAAAGTGAGTGCAATGGGTTAACATGTTGCGGGCTAGACATTTTATTGCTAACTATACTCAATGGCCAAGTATTTCTTTACATAAAATATTTAAAAAAATACTTATGGTTATATTATATCAATATTTTCATTATCACTTGATACTTGACTAGATACATAAAAAATGTGAGATTCTTCATTCGTCTGCAATGTGTTAATATTTAATAAAGAATGTATTGTTTGTAAGATTTTCCAAAAATTAATAAATTTTCTTTATATAGATTTGGTGTGGAGCTGGTGTCAATTTAACTGGAGGTAAAACACCAGATGGCGGCTGTATGATTGGGGGAAGTGTATTTTATGCAGCCGAAGCTTCAGAAACAAATACAATTAAAACAGAAGCTGAAGATGCAGTTGAACATTTAGACAATGAACTTCAAGAGAATGAAAAACGTATATTAGAAGCAGAACAATTGGAACAAAAACTCAGTTCCTTAGTCTGGATTTGCACATCAACCCAAAAAATGTCCAAAGTTACAGTTATAGATGCTAATAATCCAGCAGATATCTTAGAGGTTTTCAGTGTTTGTCAAGGACATTTACTTTCTATTGCTAGTGTACCAGGTGCCATGGAAAGTGATTATCCTAAAAATTCGAAGGAAAATTTAACATATAAACTTAATAATAAAAATGGCAATATTAGCATGGATAATAATCACGATGAAGCGGTTATAGTTGAACATATTGATGAAAATGAGCAGAAAAAACAGCAAGAAGCGTCTACCTCAGCTGAAAACAATAAACCGGAGATTGGCAGTTCTGTAGACGAACAAAATGGTGAAACTTTGGAAAAAAATAAAGATACTGATCAGAGTTCAAGCGCTGGACCTCAAAGCTTGGAAAGTGTAGATAGTGAAACAGCAAATTTAGGAAAGGTTTATTTTATTAAATGCAATTCAGAAATAGTTAACGATGAATTAAATTGCAAGGAGGGTAAAAATGAAGAAGAAGAAAAAGAAGAAGAAGAAGAAGATAGGGAAATAGAGGAAAGTACACCTATCGAAAAAATGTCATCTATACAATCAACTATGTGGCTAGGAGCTCAAAATGGTGCTGTTTTTGTACATTCGGCTGTTGCCAAATGGTCTGTTTGCTTGCATTCTGTAAAATTGAAGGATGCGGCTGTAGCTATCGTGTACGTAAAGTTTTTTTTATTATTTATATATTATTTACATATAATAGATTTGTCTGTGCAATTTATCTTTAATTAAATTCTTTTTTGTATTATTTTATAGACACGTTCAAGGTCGTGTCCTGGTTGCTTTGGCTGATGGAACCGTGGCTTTGTTTCGAAGGAGTGCAGATGGTCAATGGAACTTTTCTCAGTACCATGTTATTACTTTAGGAAGTCCACAGCATTCGATTAGATGTATGTCTGCTGTTAGTGGAAAGACTGTATGGTGTGGATATAGAAATAAAATCCATGTGATAGACCCTATTAGAATGACTGTTGAAGTAAGGATTTCAAATCAGTGTGTTATTAATAACTAATGAACATATAAAATAATATAATGTTTCAGTGCACCGTCGATGCTCATCCTAGAAGAGAGTCACAAGTAAGACAATTGGCATGGCTAGGTGAGGGCGTTTGGGTTAGCATTCGATTGGATTCGACATTAAGACTCTATCATGCGCATACTTATCAACATCTACAAGATGTTGATATAGAACCTTATGTCAGTAAAATGCTGGGCACAGGAAAACTCGGATTTTCTTTTGTACGAATCACAGCTTTATTAATTTCCTCAAATAGGTTGTGGATAGGTACTGGAAATGGAGTGATAATCTCAGTACCACTGTCCGAGAGTATGTTAAAACTTAATAATATTTTGTTTATATTGCTTGTATAATCTATTTATGCATCATATTACATACTATTTGTATAGGCGCAGGAGGTTCAATGGCAGTATCCAGAATTCAAACGGGAGCTAATAAAGGTGATGCACCAGGAATTGGTGTTAGAGTTTTTGCATCGGAACGAGGAGTTTCAGTTGGAAGTTTTATACCATATTGTAGTATGGCCCATGCTCAATTAAGTTTTCATGGACACAGGGATGCTGTAAAAATGTTTGTCGCTGTACCTGGTAAGTTTAGGTATCATGATGTTATTAATGTGTAAATTCTAATACATAAAATCTGTAGGTCACGGTGGTCAAAGTGCTGCAACCGATGGTTCACAGCCTGCAATGCTTGTCTTATCTGGAGGCGAAGGTTACATTGATTTTAGAGTCGGTAAGTAAGCGGTACTTGATACATTATGTAGTTAGTATAACGTAAATTTTTTCCTTAGCTATCAGCTATGTATCTAAATGTAATCTATGATAATGACAATTTTAGCAGAAGAAGCAGAAGACGAAAGTGATGTGGCGACTCATCTTATAGTTTGGCAATTGGTCAGGTATGCCCCCAGAGAGAGAAAAAAAGCAAAAAATACTTTTATTTCAGCATATGTTAATACATCGTATTAATAACCCTCGGTTATGACATCCTATACTAACAGGTCTTTCCTTTCTTCTGTTGCACTATATAACGAAATTTGACTAACATTTCTGGCTGATTGCATATTTATTCATTACCGATTAAAAAGTGTGTATTATAAATAATCTTTAATGAATTTGAAATGTGATGATAAATTGCTTATCATCATATAGCGAAATCTGTTGCTTCACTTTACAAAGAATTATTATCACTGTTTCTGTTAAGAGAACTGTATAGGATAAATTATATCTGTTGCCTTTATTCTCTGGGGGTGGTCCTTTCCAACTGATATGTATTTATTGTAATATATGAACGAGAACTTGAAATTTGCACTTTCCTTATATATATCATAAAAAAGATAACTAATTATCACTTGATATTTATAACATTTTAGGTGATGGAGAAGAAACAGAAGAGAGTATTGAACGGTCTAATGCTATAATAGCAGCCAATACTGACGAACATGGTGAACAAAGTCACCTTATTGTTTGGCAAGTACAGTGTCCAGTGCCAATGGCCAGTTAGCCTACGAAATGGAAAGACAACTTCATCATGGTGCACGACTAGCTATATATATATATATATATCTTTCAACAATAGTTGGTCAATAAACGCCCACATGTTGTTGAAAATAATTGATAAATGATACTTGTCGATTCAAGTAAACAATATGCGGTTATAGTATAACTACAAACACAAAATGGTTTCATACAGCAGTATAAGGAAAAGCGTTTTAAACAATAATAAGTAAAATTTCGCGATAAACATTTAAGATCTCTGCAGCATGTATTGCATTTACTCTGCTTCTATGTTGAGTAATCTAGGAAAAAAATATATAACAGTGGGATCCGGTTATTATTATCACTGATAATATTATCAATCGGCTATTGTTATTTATAATTAGTTGGTTTGTCTAGAAAGACTGTTTAAAATAAGTTAAAAATAATTCGTCTAATATTTATCAAATTTTGATTATTGGTATCTATTGTGATAATCATATTTGGGAACAAACAATAAGAATTTTTAGCAAATTTATACCATTGTAAATGAGTCTTTTTAAAAACTTTTTTTTACTGAAGAATATTTTTTATTTTTTACACGAGTATGAAATAAGAATTTATAGAAAATATATAATAGACCTTGTCTCGAAATCTATAAACAAAACTTTAGAAGTTTAAATAAATTTTATGGTTTTTTAAAAAGTTATTTGTAAAAAAAATTAGCGTAAAAATATGTATAATGTTATGTTAAGTGTACAGTTTGTGATAAATTTGAATTGTAAAATGTTATAATTGTTTATAATAATTTGGGTTCAATAATGAACATTATTTATTTTTGGTTTAATGTTATTAGTCGATTTTTTTAATTTAAAAGTTGCAAGTTCCACAGTGATTAATAGTAAGCGGATGCCACCGTGTATATATATACATACATATATAAATATATATAAATAATATATTTACTGGATTTTCGAAGTAATTTAAACAAATTTTATAAATTTCGAAATATTCTTAGAATTATAAATGCTTGTCCCAATAAGTTTAGGCATTTCCTAATCTGTTGTGGTTTAACCGAATTATTTTAATAGTCGTATGCACTTGCCACGGAATAACTTCGATTTTGATTTCACGAAAGAAACAACAATGTGTTGTTAAATGTATATGAAATAAGTAACTGGATAATCACATTTGATAGAATTCAAAAAAAATAAAAAAGAAAGAAAAATCGTTGGGCATAAGGGCACTTAAGTGATAATGTTCTAGCCACAAATCGATCTGACAAATAATAAAAATAACATTTGGAATATTGTCGTGACGTAGTCATTTATATTTCACGTTATAAAGATTGTTTTAATATAAACATCATATGGGATAAGTGGTGCAATTAACTCAGGCAGACTTTAGTTTTATAGTCTATAATTTATCGTGTCTTTTAATTTGTTTTACTTCTATATATATATATAGATATATAATAAAAAAAGAAAGAAGAGGTAGAAAATATATATTGCATATAATGTATTATTATTTGCGAATGAACTTAACGAAAAATCGTCTTTTACGATTGTTCATAATTTCGACGAGTAATGAGCCAATTATGTAAATATTATAAGCAACTTTATAGCGCAAATAGAATTGTAATTATTTAAATATTTATTGACGGAAGTAATGGATATTATAATTTCAAAATGAAAATTCGTTTTTTCCGTCTTTTAATGCTTATGTTTTTTCTTATATACATACATATATTACCAAAGACAGAGATTTATTTGTTATATCTCTTTCTCATTCTCTCCGTATCCAGTGATTTAATATCAATTTTTATTTCTGAATGAGTTATGCGTTAGTCATGCGACTAAAGATGAGAATTTTCGTAGTAATTATTTTCATTTACTCGAGCTCCATTCACAGAACACATTTAGAAAACTTGTGAAATTTTATAATTGCCTACGTTATTGTTGCCAATGCGACGATTTAATGAGATAAAGATTGTGCGTATAACTGTGAGAGCTCGCTTATAATAACGAGCTCGGATCTGTACCTGGCTCAGATGAAGCTGCAACGACATTAATAAAGAGTTGCAAAAATAAATTCTGCATACGACTTTGTTCTTTTTTCTCTTAAGTTTTTTATATTATCAAATTTGTCCTTCAAAAATGTCCTTCAAAAAAGACGGAAAATAACATTTGTTTTCATTTCAACGATATGAATTCAGCTAGCGAGACCAATCGAGAGCTCGTTTTTTGCCTAATTTAATAAAAGCAATAATTCTTGAATGAAAACATCTGCTTGATCAAGTGAAAAAATATGTAAAAAAAAATAAATAAAGAACACGTGAATTATATCAAATGATAAGGTTATGCATATGTATATTTATTGAGATAAAGTAGGAACAATTCTGATAAATACTGTGATAACATATAAATTTTATATAGGGTAAAAAATGAAACCTATCTCTTATTATCGATTTATAAATTTCTTTTATCGAATAATTTCTAACACTTTCTTCTACGTTATTTCAAATCGGATCGCCTATTTTTGAATTTTATAAGCAATCAAATGCATGCAAATGATCATATAAATATTATTATTTCAGCGTGCTTTGAAGGTAAAGACAAAAATTGAACACACATTAATTTAGTATAAAAAAAATCAATTCGTAAGAAGAAAAAAAAACAAGAACAAAAAGAAGCGAAGAAAAGATAAAGGATATTTGTAGAAAAGAAAAAAAAAAAAAGGAAAAAAGAACAAATCGAGACAAGGTCGAAAAAGCATAAAAAAAAATTGGAACGAAGGGAAGTCGATGGGGGGAAGATTATATATATAAAAAAAAAAAAGAAAAACCCATTAAATGAATCGAGTGTTCGAGAATAAGGATGTATTGGTTTTCTTTTTTCGTACCCTTCGAAAAAAGTATTGCGTGTTATGGCGTAAGGTTGCTCCCTCGTTCTTCCACCAATCGCGGTTCGACGTAGGTGATAAAAGCACGCTGTCATCGTTGCCAGTCAGTTTCTATTCTTGGCATCGCGAGGAACGGACGTATAATACCGTCCTTCTGACTAGAAGCAAATTTTTTATTGCGACATCACTTAAACGATTTCAACTAAGTTACACAACCGGTAAATCCTGTGAAGATTTGAAGGACAACAAGATGGCAGGCACATCGAGAGATCCTGCTGCTGAACAGCTTAACGATTACAAGAGAAATTTGAAGGTATGATCTAACGATCTAATCGAATTTCTAGATGATCTAAAATAAATTTATTCAATGCGTTACACACTAGTTTCTTTATTTGTACTATTTCTCCTTTCATTCATGACCTCCATTTTTACTAGCGTAGTACCAACTCTCTTTCTTTCTGTTTTATTCTTTACTTCTTCTTCTTCTTTTTCTTTTTCACTTTACTCTTTTCTCTCTATTTATCTTTTATGTTTCGTAAGATCTATATTATGACGCTAGAGAAATCAACACTTCCGTGCCTAATCTTATGATACCAGATTTATTTAGATGTTAAAAACAGAAAAGAAAAAAATGTTTACGTAGAAATTAAATAGATACGATCGATGTAGATCGCATTAATGGTTGACGGTATACAATTTACATATTATCACATAATGTTTATTTACTTTTATCTATTTTTTTTTCTTTTTTTTTTTTTTTTTTTTAAATTTGCATGAGATTATTATGGAAATTTTGGAAAATATTTCAAATGCTCGTTATTTTGATACTGCAAGTCGATATCGAACTAAAATTACTTATAAACTTGCATTTAATGTAATTCAATTTTTGTTATTTATTTCAAATGAATTTATTTATTTAGTTGATAGGATAAATACATATATAATAAGTTAACACATTTACATTTTAATTTCTAATGTAAATGTTTCAAGGAATTTTTAGATAGCCCAAGTAGTTTCTTTGGAGATAATCTTTTTTAAAATTCTTTTCACTATATCTAGAACATTAGAAACTAACTTTTTAAAGGCGTGCCTAAAAAGAAAGAGAGAGTTCCATATGCACATGTATAGATATATGTTATATACACATCTATGACGCGTCAGTTTGATTAAATGCAAATGTATTTATCATTTTATTAAAGAAAATGATTAGCAACATTCGTATTTTGCTAAGTGCATTATTTATTATAAAAATAATATCTGAGTAACAACATAACATTAAAAATCTAGAATAACTCTTTAATTCATTTACATATGTGCACATAGATAAAAACTTTGTTGATGCTTAATTACATGTTATTTTTCACGAGAGAGAAAGAGAAAAAGAAAAAGAAAATATTCGAGAGAGATAGCATTAGATCAAAGTCCCTTGTATGACGAAAAATCATTGCACAGGTACAGAAATTTCTATCATATCGTCGCGATGTATTTTAAACATGTTTACCAATGCAAATGCTACGCATTGTATTCTATTTTTAAGTTAACTTTTTTGATCTTATAATTGGAAATTGAAATTCGATAAATTATTCGTTTTTTGTTTCGACTGTAAAATGCTTTTATATTTATAAAAAAAAATACATGTATACTTTGAGATTTCGTTCGTTTAATAACTGTGTAAACAGCAATTTGTGAGTTTAAGCGTTTACTATTATTACGTAATAAAATTTTTTGCCGTGCCGTGTAAAAAATACGCTTTTAATAAACTAAAGTCTCACGTGAGAAATTAAATAAGTTTTATCAACAATTGTCGCACTTTTTCGTTTTTTTTTTTTTTTAAATTTGTATGTACAATTGTATGTTTTTTTTTTCCACGTAATGAAAAAGCTGATGATTATCTTTATTGATCGAAAATATTTATGTAGGTACTTATATGTATATAGGCCGCTCATTTTCCTAATCGATTAACTCCACAACACACACACACACACACATATACCAGAAAGTAAAGAAAATTGGAAACATAATCTATATCGTCGTATCATTTATCATTTAATGACTATACTAATTTTGGTCATTTAATGTTATTAAATTTTATTATTAAAAAAATGTATTTTCAATATAAAAAATTAAACATCCATCAAATGCTTAAGTACTATTATACAGTTTAAAAAATTTTTGAAAATGAAGTTAATCGATCAGACTTCTGAATGGCTTACATGCATCTATATATAGATAGATATTGACATAAGCAAGAGTTCTCACGAAAGTTCTATCTTTGATAGACAGTTAATCCTTATCCTCTTGCTGATATCGCATCAGTACACATATTATGTTAGAAATGGAAAAGGAAAGAAAAAAAATTTAATACATAGAAGCTGAAGGAAGAGAACGATTACGATTATATTCGAAGCTCTTTTGCTTTGCAGCAAACACGAGG